ACAGCAAGCATAGGTTCCTGAAGACCTATTCTACCCCGGATCTTCACGAGCCAGTTATTCTATGTTAAAGGGGAATATATGGAAGGATTTCTCGTCAACATATTCAATGAACACCCCATATGCATTGACTTGATTGTTAGCTCCTTCGTGAAAACATTGCAGTCTGAAACAAAAAATATTGTGCATGACACAGCACAGTTGCAGTGGGTAGTTATCGTAGAATGACAAAAGCATACATATTAAAATAGAATGAGGAAAAATTAGCACTTCAATAGATATTTGGAAGGAGAGTTATTGTATCCACGAATATACAGTTCAAATAAAACCAAAACTGCGTATTGATACAATCTGAATGATGAGTGGGCTGGTTTTTAACGCCGCTTTGAACAGTGTTCCGGTTATGTCACGAAGTGTAAGTTTAGTGTGGGAGGAAAACCCGAAGAGATGCTGAGCCGCTTTCCATAAAGCGAACATTGCGCTGAGGTGATCGTCACTCCCATACTTTAACGTAGACTTACGACTGTCCTAACGCTACGACCGCGTTATGGAGCGGGGCCCCGGCGTCACACGTGTACCATATGGTGAAACCATCGAGCACGGGTATACTGACAAACCTAGAAATATAATCACGTCGAACCGGGATTCGAACCCACGATTACAGTTTTTGTCAAAGGGACGTAACTCTGCCCAACGGATTGAGGCGCCTCAGGCGACTGGGCCACCCGTGAACCTAATTCGTAATACATGTGTTATGCAGTCGAGACACACCCAAGATAACAGTGCAAACAGTTCAATGTAAATTGAGATGTTAATCTGCCTGTTTATTTCTACCCAATTGTTACCTACTCAAGTGGAAAGAAAAACCAGCAGCACACCTAGTATATTCAAAACAGTCATTAACTCTTGGGGCTCTTCCGCGATACTGGGTGCTACTCGTAGCGAAACGCCTAGCTTTGAAAAGTTATGGTCCTAAAACATGTGTTTGTGTGTTGAATATGTCCTCATAAATAACTAACATGGGAGAAAACTGGCAGAATAAACAAGGCAACAGCCACGTCAGTGAATGGGTGGTACATGTCAACCGCACCTTCTGTTCTCATACCAGCCCTATAATTGCTCCTTGACATATTTTGCCGGTGACATGATGCATGTTATGTCATCCTGTGCCGTTCTTGGTAATTACTGTCTATATCAACATGTAAGCATTAAAACGCATTTTTTTATAGCTTACTTTAGAAGGGTAAAACACCCTCCACAAGACTGTATGACAAGAGAGATGACTTCAACTTTCCAACAGTCAACTTTCCCTTTATGTCGAGCAACATTCCTGCATTTCCTGCGGTTGAACAATTGACTTTCCTTTGCATGTGTTTGCGACTGGTGTCGTCGTTGGGGCAGGATACGCTCACCTGTTTGCGAACACCTGGTATCATCTCTTTTGGATAGATTCATCAACATATGATCATGACATGGTCGGAATGGACCATCGACTCTGCTTTTAGCAGACATTTTTTTTATGAATTTGGAAAGGGATTTGTCGCTTATATATACAACACTTTCAACTGGAAGAACTATTGTAATACTACAGTACAATAACGGATATCTGGCGAACCTTTTAAATTCATGTCATACGTTCACAGCAGGTGTATATAGAGTTCTTATGAATAAGTACATTTAATAAGGTTTTATGGACATACTTCTAAGGCATTCAGACACGTTGGCTAAACCAAGTCTCTAGAAGTATAATAAAGCATAATAACAACGATACATATCTTATAGTATAGTCAGTCAGCCGTTTGTATACCACCAATACTACAGCGCTCCCACAATTGTGATGAGTCAAAAAACGATGTGCTCCAATGATGAATTATAATGAAATATTTCTAGGACTATTTCCCATGCCGTTTGTATGTAGACATCAAGTGTATATCAGGGCAATTGTGTTGAAAGATCTCATTTTCACAATATCCCAATTTGCTTTCTGACAACCTCGCGGTATAGTAGCCTCATTGACTGTCCAGATTGTCACACACGCTAAAGGAGAACATGGATGGTTGTTGTTTGTGTACGATGTACCTGGGTTCTCTTAGGTGAATCTTATAATGTATTAATTCTTTGAAACAGATGCGATGATTTCAAAAGAGCTGTATGGGTATATAACCTCCCGGCGATGACATGTTGATTTAATCGTGACCTCTCAGCATCTGTATTCATCTCGGATGATGATGCGCTATTTTGCACTAAAACATATACAGTTTCGAGCCGGTGTTGATAATAAACAGTGCCTTGACCTGGCTTGCAAGTGGGATACTTACTTAATAAATGACAACGTATTAAGCTACGTATTTAGTGACACAAGAATAGTCCCAGTGTACGCTTCCCATGAGATTCTAGTCATAGTGGAGACCCCTAGTGGCCCCGGGGCAGGAGCTTATTGGACGTGGGTGAGGCCATCTGTTAGTATATTTGCTAGGCAAATATTATAAAAGACCTAGGTTTGAAACTATCAATATTTAGAAAATATTATTCTTGGTTTTCTTAATAGGGTTATTTATTTTTATAAGTTTTAAAAGTTTATGTTAAGTAGAATTCCAAACATCAAGACCAGAGAATATTTGTCTCGAAACAAAGATAAAATGGTGATGGAAATCGTATGAATGGATACGTATAATGTATAAAGTATAATGTATAATACATAATGTACAACGTGAATGCATGTTATAAGAAAATATTCATAAGAATGCTTAATAATTACAGCAAATTCTTTAAAGTGTCGTCGGAGATTTTTAAACGCAACAAAATACAATCAAGGATATATCGGAAGATGTATACGTAGAAATATTCCTTTCCGTAAGGTTGAACAATCTTATATTACCAGTACAATTTATCCAAACAATTTAACCGAAACGTAAGTTCAACTGACAGCGCCCATCCTAAAAAACCGTTAAGTACTCCTGGGAGTGATTAAATCAAACAACACACAAAGTGCAATGTCAACATTTGAAAAGCTGAAAAGAAGTAGACAAATTCAGCAATACAAATTATACGAAATGCAGAACAAACATGATTTATATACAAAACGCCACCACACCTTAAACCCTCGTCGACACGGGTATGGAATAACTTCCTATTGAGCGGAGCATGAACTGAAGACACCGTTATTCATAACGCCTCCTGGTGTACATGTAGTGTATGCTTGATCGTATGCATGACATCATAACTGACACTGACGAACGTGCACTCTCATAGATACCGTCTCTGTAATTGTGTGTTGTGTTAGTGTATAGTGACGACCACTTGCGCAATAGTCTATAGACGGTACCTCATACCTGATAAATGTTAAACTGAAAAATCAGTAAAGGATAACGGGATAACAGCACTATGTAAGTGTATTTGATAGATATATAAATAGAAGAGTAGATAGATTAGTTGATAGATAGATACTATTAGAAAGATGATGATCAAAAAGTGACAATTGTTTACTCGTAGCCCTTGTAGTAAGTATTCATATCGAGTTATCAGTAGCGGACGACCAATCTGAGTGCTGAGACAGTAACGTTACTTCACCTCAATGATATATTTAGTTAAAGGAGTTCAAGGACTGATAGATCGATGACAGATCGATATAGATAATACATAAATTAGACGGAGAGAAAGATTGACAGATTTGATTGTTGATATGAATTAGTGAGTGTTATATTTTACCGTTATATCGGCAGCGTTTCAGCCATATTGTGACGAGTGGTTCAGATTAACTATTCGGACTCTTGCTATATCTTCATCAATTACATCTTTCTTATATATTTTCCTAAGCTCGATATTGAATACATGGGCCTCTTATAGCCATACAGATTCATGTTTTGACACCACGGACCACTTTTGTTATTCGTGTCCGCCTTTACCGGACACACCAGTGTCAATAATACCGCGATTAAGTGGCCTAGTTGTTAAATTGCATACAAATCGGCTATTTACAGTGATATAAGAGAACTTTCCCCGTACAGTTGATAGATTCAATATTTAACTTAAGACTTCCATTTTCATAACAGGTAGAGTCCACACGAACAGAACGATATTATGGGCTGAGTGGCTTGCATACGTGTCTCCATTATATGACTGTTAACTTTCTCGCGCCCAACCGCATGGCAGCTTGGGTTGTTCACTCCCCAGGGAGCTGAGAATGAAAATCGCTGGCACACTGACCGGGGAAATAATGTCACGCTTTGACCACGCTTTGGGACTATAAATATGCACATTATTATTATTATTATTATTATTTTTATATTATTATTATTATTATTATTATGATGATGATGATGATGATGATGAAGCAAACGGGTTAAAGTCAATGCGAAACACACCTGTAAAATAAATAATTATGCATGCGCAGGATAGACTTGAATGGAATATTGCTGAATGCGGCGTAAAACAACAAACAACAAACAAATATTAGTTGACATGATAGATTATCCCTTACAGACACTAGCGTTCTAGGTAAACTCTTGTGGTAAGGTGTAACCGTGAACAATTATTTTTGTAACATTTTTTCCCCCCAACTCCCCCCCCCCCCCCCCCTCATACTTTTGCCAAATGATACTTGAAAAAATATAACGGTCAGTTTTTAATTCCCCATGGACAGTAGTGATTGATATCATGAGCATTGATGCACGCAATTGGGATACGATGGAAACCTTTTATCGCCAACATATACCAGTCATTAATTAATGTTCAAATTTATACATTTTGATATATATATATATGTTGGCGATAAAAGCCTGTTGTTTGCCTCCTGTGTGTTCTTTTCTGCGTGTCTTAATTTTTTCTTTGAAGCAGGTTACGGTTCCGCCGAAAGAGGAAGGTCTCATACGATAACAATGCTCTTAGCGATTACAGAAAAAAAATGCCTTAATGAAATTTTGTTTGGTAATAGCCGTTTATTCGATAATACCCGATACCGCTCTAGTATCTAAATTACTTTTTTACCACATTTTATGTTACAGATCGAAAATTTAGTGGAGGCTGCAGAAGGAAAGATATAGCCCGTGTTAGAGCGTTGCATCAGACGAGGCTTAAAGACAGCAGACGAGGTAGGTGTGACCAGCTGGTTTTCGTAGCCATTGCTTCTGTGGCGACATGTTTGTTTGTTTGTTTGTTTGTTGTTTAACGCCGCATTCGGCAAATTTAATATTCCAGCTATATGACAGCGGTCTGTAATAATCGCGTGTGGGCCAGACAATCCAGTGATTTCCATTGCATGTGCATTTTATCCCCTTAATGCCGAGCGCCATACAGGGTAACAACAAGTACCATCTTTTAACGTCTTTTGGTATGACGCGGTCGGGGGTCGAACCCCGGACCTTCCGCTCTCCGGGCGCCATAATAAGGATAACGCCATTTGTTTTTGCCACTCGGAAACCACGCGATCCGTGAAGATCCGGGGTAAAAAAGGTCTTCAGCAACCTGTGCTTGCCGTAAAAGGTGACTATGCTTGTCGTAAGAGGCGATTAACGGGATCGGGTGGTCAGGCTCGCTGACTTGGTTCATGCATGTCATCGTATCCCAATTGCGTAGATCGATGCTCATTCTATCAATCATTGGATTATCTGGTCCAGACTCGATGAGATTATGATAGGACCATGGTCAAAGAATACAGCGTTAAATGTGAAAATGATTTGTACGATTCACGATGACAAAGTATACATGTATTAAAGTCCTGTGCAATAAAACGTTTAAGTTTTAGTTTTAAATCAAACCTTTTAACTGTAAAGTCACGAACATTTTATTGACATATGAATATTCCATTTCTGGCTTAACATTTGGAATTAAATATACCCGTTAATGAAAACAGAAGTGTGCCAAATTATTCTGAAAAAGTTGTATTCATATAAGAGCGACAAAAACCTTTTTAATATCATATTACATCTCAGCTAACGGTAGAGTTCGTTGTACAATTCTGAATTGTCCTAAAGTGCAGTTCACATGACTTGAAAGTACTTGATCATGATATGACGCTGAGTTGATTGTATAAGAAACACATACAACATGCAAGTGACGTTATACATGCTCGTCAGCAACAGTCATTTGACGTAAGTGAAGCAGTTGAACAAAGTTGCCCCACAATAGCGACGAGTACATGAATGGCACAGTCTCATGCAACGCTTATTCTCGCTTATTGTGACAACGGGGAGAGCGGAGTGGCTCCTCCCGATACCGTTAGACACACCCTGCAAGGTTACGATTGGTTGGCGGCAATAATAACTGTCCTGCGTCATAATTCTTTTCTCTTCTACAATAAAAGACCAAAATAACAGCTATATAAGCTTCGGTGGGAAATGGCAGCCAATTCACTCATACTTAGACAGTAACTATGATCACATGAACATTAGTTTTCCAAGCGGCGTACATGCTGGTTCATGTGAGCGCTCGTGCTGGTTCATGAAGCGCACGCCATTACACTGTAGGAAGTTTGGACTTGGAGTATTACAAGGAGATATTACCTGACAGTGTGTTTCTATACTATTTCAGAAATTTCGATGAATCTGTGGATTATACTGGCCATCACTTGGATAAGCATTTCCGTCGTGATAGGTGAATATTCAATTATTTTTGTGAAAACATTTCATTGAAAATTAAATTTCAATAAAATAAATTCTTAAAGTTTGATTTTCATCTGCTTTCTTATATAAATTTTTGTTAAATTTAAATACATGATCATCTAATTACATATTATAAAACTATCTTTTTAAAAACGATGAATTGTTTTAATAATAATGTATTTTATATTTTCTTCATTCTTTTTTATTTATTTTCGAATAATAATTTAACTTAATTTAGTTTTATTTGATTTTTAAATTTATGTTTTTAGCTGACCCCAAGTGGTTCGTCCACGATTCTCCCCTTGATGGGGGGGATAATGAAGATCTATTCTCCAGTGAACAGCTGCTTCCAGTTCAACTGAAGACACACAAAAATCCAAAACCTGCCGTTCCTCATATTACACCAAAAAAACAAGATCAGTCACATGGTAAGCATTTTGAAAACCTCACCCAGATATTTGTTAACTTGATATTGGGCACAGTAGGAGTGACGACGTGCCCTCACGCCTACATAAATATTTGCTTATCTGCGGTAAGACTTGCGAAATGTAATGCTAAGCAATCGAAGCTCTCGTAAAATGTAAAATATCATAAAGTTCGGATATGACCGGATACCTTTTACAGCTATCATTTACGATAATTAATCTGTGACTTGCATCGTTAGACATATCGTTATCTTTCACCTTAACAATTTATTTCACAGATAAAAAAGTCAGCAAGGGTGCAGATAAACCGAAACCAAAACCCGTGGTCAAACAAGAGGCGAATGAAATAGAGTCAGAGAATCTGATTCTGGTTCACAAAAAACCCACACACGCAACAGGCAGAAAACCATTGCAGGTTGTTGATGATCGGAAAAAGGTTGAAGTTAAAACTATCAAGACCGACACAAAACCTGTACGCAGTCCGCAAATCCTTGACGAGGGTAAGATGTCAGCATGAATTCAATATTTCTAGATCCAATTCAAATACAAGGATATGTAATGATTATCTCACCACAGAACTTAACGCTTGCCTTCTACCAACGGTATGCAATATATTTCAGTTTGATGTAACAGGCTTTGGTTGGTTTTAAATACTGATGCAACTCATGCACTTAAATGCAATGTTTAAATATTACAGAAGAACCGTGTGATCCGGAGAAGGACATCGACTGCCTCTTGGAGACGGAGGACCTCATCCTCGTTAGCAACAAGAAGGTAAAGCCGGCTGAAGCAAAGAGGCTGAATCAGCAGGCAATCAAACACGACTTGGTGGAGACAATGAAGATAAAAGGTGGGCACAAAGTAGTTTTGGTTTGGTTTAGTTTGTTCTTTTACGCCGCACTCAGCAATATTCCAGCTGTATGACGGCGGTCTGTAAGTAATCGAGTCTGGACCAAACGATCCAGTGATTTACAGCATGAACATCGATCCACGCAATTGGGACCGATTACATGCATCAACCAAGTCAGCGAGCCTGACCACCCGATCCCGTTAGTCGCCTCTTACGACAAGCAGAGTCGCCTTGTGTGGCATAAAGTAGTGAATATACTGACGGGAAGAAATCAGTGAACACATTAAATAAAATGTTTCGAATTATTAACATTGGTGTTAACTGGCAAACGATCTCTGACTTTAGTCCCCGTGCTTAAAACATATGCATTTTCCTGAGTGTTAATTCGCTCGCTTATTTCTTATATCAGTGTACATTAAGGAAGTTGTACAGACTACCTTATTCAAACGAATGGTTATGTTCTTAAGATTTTTTTCTTTGTGCTTGAAATATATTTATACTGGTCTTATATTTCAGAAGACATAAAGCCAGAAGTTAAGAAAACTGAAGAAGCTGACAAGTCGGCACTTCACAGAAGATTGCTCCAGAGAGATGGTAAGAATTGTCAGAAAAGCAATTTACATAGTCTTGAAATACGCTTATTCATAAAATCATAACATATTGACTTTCTCAGTTCACGTAGAATAATACAATAGTTTTAGCGTATTGATTCCAGAAAATTTTGATTTTAATTTGCGAGCATCAAGTACCCATCGTTAGACAGACACTGGACAATAAATACAATTGATTACATTCTGCTACAGGACTCGACCCCGAGGCTGTCGTTCGTCAGAAGCCCGCACTGCAACCTCTGTTGGAGGAGGTCGTGGAGGAAGAGGAGGATGTTCTTGCCAACGAGATCTACTCCAACGATCAACAAGCTGAAGAGATCATAAGACGCTTCAAGAGGCAGATTCAGACAGACGAGGCTATTGGGTCAGGAGGTATGTTAACACCTGACGAATGTTTGATTTTGTGTGAACCGGATTGAACTTGGTAGCTATATGAATAAACATTCTTTGAACTTACAGTTTGTAACATATGATTTTATTATCATTAATTCTTGTATGACTTTTTCATAGATAAGCAGAAACGTTTTCCATTAATGTTTAAAAACTAGATTTGTAAATATATTTATACATTTTTCTTTCTACAGATGGTGGTGGCGCTAGTTTCATGAACACGACGGATACCACAGAAAGTAAGTACCGATACTTCACAGTTAATAACATTTCATATCTGTTACATTCTACGTGTCTTACTTTTCAAGATGATAAAAAGATAGCACAAAAGTTACTTGAAAAAGAATCACATCAGTATGTGGTCTATTTTTCAGCCCCATCGTTCACGATGCCACTCAGCATAACCATGGAGCAAAAACATGACACCGGAACCCTGACACCGGAAGAAAAATCGAGCTATAAAGACATGTTCAAGACGCAGTTGGACGGCATTTTCAGCAAAATTGAGGGAACAAAAGCCGTTGTGAAGAATATTCGCCTTGACGAGTGAGTAGTGTTGCAATTTCACATTTCGGTGGTTTAAATGAATTTAATACGCGGTTTAAACAAGCAGAAGGTGAAGGTGTATCTATCGACACAGTGTTTTCATTTGCCTTTCACTGAACTGGATTATCCACTAGATCACACTCCTAGCATACGTTCATGTCAGTCAGGGTCTAGATAGATGATGATGATGATAATGATGATGATGATGATGATGAGACAGATTGTCCTAAGTGTTATTTAAGAATTGGCTTCAGCAATCTCAGCGTTTTTACCTCTTCAAACGCAAAACTATATTTGCAGTCAATTCTCATTCATAACTAAATCAACAATAAAACTTCACAAACTGCTCATTTATTCATTAAAACAAAAAGCTGGAGACAAGGATATGACATCAACGAGCGCAATAAAGCAACACAAGCACCGCCCATTCTTGTATCATCCAATCAGGAAACAGTATCTGATAGTGGGAGTGGTCCAACTATGTTAAGGTTTATGGAAACACTAATTCAAAAATAATTGCTTGGTAAGCCAATCAAATGCCCTGGAATTAATTGCAATGTATTGTTTACAGAAACAACCGTGTGACGATGGACTGGGATCTAGTGATCACTCTTACTGGGGCGCGCGGAACCACTGATACCACTCAGTCTCAGAACCTTCTGCTGAACGATTTGGTTACAATTGGTATTCCTGCGGTCAACAATATGATTATAAATGGAAGTGTTGTCTACAAAGGACTGGAAGAAGTGGTCGTTAAACCAGCAGGTACGAATTCCAAAATATATACCTTCCACCCAATATATACTCACTTCCAAAAGAAACGCTCATCTTAAAGAAGTATGAAATGTCTGAAAATCAAAAGGTAATTTGATATATATATCCAATATCTTTTCGCTTTCGGAATTTTACATTTTAGGGTTGCGTTTCTTTTGGAAGTGAGTATATTTTGTTCGAGTCTAAATTTATGATTGAAATGAATATTTAGTTATCAATAAATGGAATTTTCACATTTCGTATTTTTAATTCCTACATACGTGAATTCTTACATGTAACCATGTCTCTTTTCCAGCCGAACTTTTGTTAAAGGACACATGCCAAGCAGACAACGCTTGCCCCAGCGAGTACATATGTGTACGAAACGAAGCGTCTTTAACCTATTGCCACCACAAGTGCTACAGTTCAGGACTAATTGATGAATGTCAAAATGGAGGCGCCTGTCAAATCAACGACAACTACGAACCATATTGCCAGTAAGTATAACACGAACGGGTCAACATTATTATCTGGAAATGATGATGATGATGATGATGATGATGATGATGATGATGATGATGGGTAATAGTAATGACAAAATAGCAGTTCTTAAAGTAACATAGGGCTATGCCACGTCTTACATCGTGTTCTTTTCTCCGTGTAGATGTGGGACGGGATATTCAGGGACAAAGTGCGAGCAGGCCCCGTCGTCTCAGAGTCCATCCTACACCATAGGCCAAATCGTGGGTGCTGGAGTCGGTGCCGCCATGATGGTCATAGCAACGGCATCGTGCTGTATATACATCGCGTTCTTCAGGAAGAAGAAGGAAGAGTAAGTATAATGTCTTGAATAGTGAGTGAGTGAGTGAGTGAGTTGGCTTAAAGCCGTTCCGAACAGTATTTTGGTTATAACGGCGTGATGTGGGAGGAAAGCCAGGAAGCGATGCAGGTCTTTGGTATTTACCACTTTGGTGAATCCCGCGAGTAGGAATTTGTTGAATTAAGTAAGGTTGCTTTCTTATAATTAGTAAATGTAAAATATTAATGTTTTCGTTGTAGAGAATTTTGTAATTGGCGTTATCAACTTCTTCAGACGATGTGTGTTCGTGATTTCTTTACTTCTCAACATGGTTATCATAATACAAGAATCTCCTACTTCCTGCTTGTTGTGTGAGTAAGTGTGTATGTATTAGTATACCCATGACTTATGTGAGAACCTTTTTTTCTAGGGACATGGATTACTCTTATTTTGGTGACGATGATTCGTCGGGTCCTGGTGCCTTCAGTGACGCGGACACAGCTCTCGGAATTAGCAACTATGTAAGTATTGATTCAGGGTTTATCACTTTTAATATTCATACAAACTATTTAAGTCGAGTTATCCGGTCTTTGACACTTGCCGAGTGTCGATATAAGATGTAGAGCAGAAATGGATTCTGTCGGAATGGTAGTCTTGAGGTACAAAATCCAGATAATGGATACTATACGCATATACTTAATTGTCAATATGATTAAATAGATTTAATTTGTTCAATATAAGCACATTTGCTGTTATTTATTTTGTATTTGTTTTATTTTCAGTATATCGACCGTCCTAGTGTCAGTTTAACGCCCCTGGATATATATCATCAAACGGGAACTCATGCTTAAATCGGAAGGACGCTAGGATAACAAATTGTTACTTGCTCAATTGTAGCGATTGTCCCAATGATGCTTAGCAACCGTTGCTAGGCTACAGGAAGGACTGGCGATGGAGCTTGTTTTCTTGGTGTTTTGTGTCAAATCGAATTTCGAATCAAGGAAACCTGACGAAGTCGCGGTCCTGACTTTCTGGGGGCAGCTGTCTGAGACGATCGATGAGTGCGAGTTCCACGCTCTGCACGTTCTGCGCGTGCTGCTCGTACCGCACGTACATGCCACGAGGCATGAATGTGAACCAGTGAACTGATCTCAATACACATGGGTGCATATCCGCACGTGGGCCCTTCGGCAGCTAGAGGATGCAATACTGAAGACACGCTGTGAGACTTTGTTCTGGGTGACAGACCATACAGGTGATCTGTGTTAGTTTCCTGAGGGATTTTTTAGAAGGAGGACATATATTCCCACGGTGTAGTCGTAAACAATCACGCTTTACAGTCACGTAGTCGGGATAACAATGTCAAAGGTCACATCATCCCTCGATGTGAATCCCAAAAAATATTTGTGGTAAAAATACAAAATTAGAAGGATAGCCCTTATCATACCCATTCACAAATATACCATTGCTTTCGGTGTTTCAGTTTTTCAAAATTTCATCTTTATGTCTAATTTGTTTTTGTAACTCGATTACACTTGATCGTAAAAAGACGGAATGACATGTCATATGGAGGGATGTAGTGTCTCAAAGGCTTTAATTTATAATACTAGTGCCAGTTTTGCCAAAGTGTTGTGCTCATCACGGGTATTGTTCTTTATTGGAGGAAGCCACTGCAATGTTAGTCAAATGTCTCAAGTTGAAAAAAGAAAAATCTGTGATATTTTCTGCAGTCTTCCACATTGTTTTACACGGTGAAACTTATTCCAGTTATTATTCCGAGGGAATTAGCTTTAAATTATCCATTAAAAACTGATTATAACTAACTTATCGTATTTTTTCTCCTAAATATGTAATTCACTTTGCGATAATTGATTACCTTGGATGGAGACATTTGTCGTTAATTGTTTATTTTTCAATTCAATATTTGGTCTTCTTTCTGAGAAGTTGGGATTACATTGAAATATACATGTATTTGTTATGTTAGATATTTTAAGTTATTGAATATATGTTTGTCTTGTAAATTTGTCAAATAGATGTAAATATTGTATATACATATTGATATACCCCGGTGCAATATTCATATGTAAATAGACATCACTTTGTATACATTCACACATATGCCATGGCCATGGTGATATGATATTTATTAAATGTTATTCAGAACTTGATCTTGTGTTTACTTTGGGAACAAACGGTGCGGTTTTTGTGTGGTCAACGGTATATCCACGCACCAGAGTGACCAGGGGTCATGTTCGGACATTGTGTTCCTAGAGTACCAGAAAGCTTGGTAGTTCGGTGGTTAATGCACTCGCTGGGAAAACCGGGTTTTATTCCATTTGTATGCTTGTTTGTTGTTTAACGCCGCACTCAGCAATATTCCAGCTGTATGACGACGGTCTGATAATAATTGAGTTTGGACTAGACAATCCAGTGATTGATATCATGAGCATCGATGCACGCAAGTGGGATACGATGACATGCATCAACCAAGTCAGCAAGCTTGATCACCCAATCCCATTAAGTACCTCTAACGACAACCATAGCCGCCTGTTACGTCAAGCATGGGTTGCTGAAGACCTATTCTACCCCGGATCTTCACGGGTCGGGTTTATTCCAAAGAAGACATATAGTTTATTGGTTGCTGCAACTTTGATGTACATATCTACAACAGGTCGGGTAGCTTTGACGCATTTGAGAAGATGGTATGGTACTTGCACCCCTTAGCCGTGCCAGGATCAGGATTAGTTCAAAGCGGCGTTAAACCGAACTCACTCATGTGAAACGGCGACTGAGGTAGCCTTTCCCTTTTATCACTAAGCAGAACTCGGGAGGAACTGAACGTAATTGATAATTATTCAAAACTGTCAGTCTGATTAGATTGAACACGTCAGATCATTCTACCCAGGATACCATTCTCTGCATCCTCGCCCCAGCACATTCCAGTGTAAGTGAGTGAGTGAGTGAGTTAGTTAGTTGGGTTTAACGCCACTTTTAACAGTATTCCAGTTGTATCGCGGCGGGTCAGCTTAATGTGGGAGGAAAGCCCGAAGTGATGCATGTCTCAGACGTTTACCACTCCGGTGAAACCCACGAGCACGAGTATGGTGCTGACAAACCTAGAAACATAATCGGGCCGAACCTGGATTCGAACCCATAATCATGGCATGGGTTTCTGGCGTGCCAAAGGGACGCAACTCTGCACAGCAAATCGCGGCGCCTTTGACAACACAAGGCGGTGTGGGTCAAGTGAGATAACACTTAAGACGATGTGGGTCAAATGAGATAACACTTAAGGCGATGTGGGTCAAATGAGATAACACATAAGGCGACGTGGGTCAAGTGGGATAACACATAAGACGACGTGGGTCAAGTGGGATAACACACAAGGCGATTTGGGTCAAATGAGATAACACACAAGGCGGTGTGGGTCAAGTGAGATAACACACAAGTCGATGTGGGCCAAATGAGATAACACATATGGCGACGTGGGTCAAGTGGGATAACACATAAGACGATGTGGGTCAAGTGAGGTAACACACAAGGCGATTTGGGTCAAATGAGATAACACACAAGGCGGTGTGGGTCAAGTGAGATAACACGCCAGGCGATGTGGGTCAAGTGGGATAACACTTAAGGCGATATGGGTCAAGTGAGATAACACACAAAGGGATGTGGGTCAAATGAGATTACACACAAGGCTGTGTGGGTCAAGTGAGATAACACACAAGGCGATGTGGGTCAAGTGGGATAACGCACAAGGCGATGGGGGTCAGTGGGATAACACTTAAGGCGATGTGGGTCAGTGAGATAACACACAAAGCGACGTGGGTCAGTGGGATAACACACAAAGCGACGTGGGTCAGTGGGATAACACACAAAGCGACGTGGGTCAGTGGGATAACACACAAAGCGACGTGGGTCAGTGGGATAACACTTAAGGCGATGTTGGTCAAGTGGGATAAAACATAAGACGACGTGGGTCAAGTGGGATAACACATAAGACGACGTGGGTCAAATGAGATAACACACAAAGCGACGTGGGTCAGTGGGATAACACACAAGGCGATGTGGGTCAAATGAGATAACACACAAGGCGACGTTGGTCAAGTGGGATTACACACAAGGCGATGGGGGTCAAGTGAGATAACACTTAAGGCGATGTTGGTCAAGTGGGATAACACACAAAGCGACGTGGGTCAAGTGGGATAACACATAAGACGACGTGGGTCAAGTGGGATAACACATAAGACGACGTGGGTCAAGTGGGATAACACACAAAGCGACGTGGGTCAAGTGGGATAACACACAAAGCGACGTGGGTCAGTGGGATAACACATAAGACGACGTGGGTCAGTGGGATAACACACAAAGCGACGTGGGTCAGTGGGATAACACATAAGACGACGTGGGTCAGTGGGATAACACATAAGACGACGTGGGTCAAGTGGGATAACACATAAGACGACGTGGGTCAAGTGGGATAACACACAAAGCGACGTGGGTCAGTGGGATAACACATAAGACGACGTGGGTCAGTGGGATAACACACAAAGCGACGTGGGTCAAGTGGGATAACACACAAAGCGACGTGGGTCAGTGGGATAACACTTAAGGCGATGTGGGATAACACACAAAGCGACGTGGGTCAAGTGGGATAACACATAAGACGACGTGGGTCAAGTGGGATAACACACAAAGCGACGTGGGTCAAGTGGGATAACACACAAAGCGACGTGGGTCAGTGGGATAACACTTAAGGCGATGTGGGATAACACACAAAGCGACGTGGGTCAAGTGGGATAACACACAAAGCGACGTGGGTCAGTGGGATAACACTTAAGGCGACGTGGGTCAGTGGGATAACACACAAAGCGACGTGGGTCAGTGGGATAACACACAAAGCGACGTGGGTCAGTGGGATAACACTTAAGGCGACGTGGGTCAGTGGGATAACACACAAAGCGACGTGGGTCAGTGGGATAACACACAAAGCGACGTGGGTCAGTGGGATAACACACAAAGCGACGTGGGTCAGTGGGATAACACTTAAGGCGACGTGGGTCAGTGGGATAACACACAAAGCGACGTGGGTCAGTGGGATAACACTTAAGGCGACGTGGGTCAGTGGGATAACACACAAAGCGACGTGGGTCAGTGGGATAACACACAAAGCGACGTGGGTCAGTGGGATAACACACAAAGCGACGTGGGTCAGTGGGATAACACTTAAGGCGACGTGGGTCAGTGGGATAACACACAAAGCGACGTGGGTCAGTGGGATAACACACAAAGCGACGTGGGTCAGTGGGATAACACACAAAGCGACGTGGGTCAGTGGGATAACACACAAAGCGACGTGGGTCAGTGGGATAACACACAAAGCGACGTGGGTCAGTGGGATAACACTTAAGACGACGTGGGTCAGTGGGATAACACACAAAGCGACGTGGGTCAGTGGGATAACACACAAAGCGACGTGGGTCAGTGGGATAACACACAAAGCGACGTGGGTCAGTGGGATAACACTTAAGACGACGTGGGTCAGTGGGATAACACACAAAGCGACGTGGGTCAGTGGGATAACACACAAAGCGACGTGGGTCAGTGGGATAACACACAAAGCGACGTGGGTCAGTGGGATAACACTTAAGACGACGTGGGTCAGTGGGATAACACACAAAGCGACGTGGGTCAGTGGGATAACACACAAAGCGACGTGGGTCAAGTGGGATAACACACAAAGCGACGTGGGTCAGTGGGATAACACTTAAGGCGATGTGGGATAACACACAAAGCGACGTGGGTCGGTGGGATAACACACAAAGCGACGTGGGTCAGTGGGATAACACTTAAGGCGACGTGGGTCAGTGGGATAACACACAAAGCGACGTGGGTCAGTGGGATAACACACAAAGCGACGTGGGTCAGTGGGATAACACACAAAGCGACGTGGGTCAAGTGGGATAACACACAAAGCGACGTGGGTCAGTGGGATAACACTTAAGGCGATGTGGGATAACACACAAAGCGACGTGGGTCAGTGGGATAACACACAAAGCGACGTGGGTCAGTGGGATAACACTTAAGGCGACGTGGGTCAGTGGGATAACACACAAAGCGACGTGGGTCAGTGGGATAACACACAAAGCGACGTGGGTCAGTGGGATAACACACAAAGCGACGTGGGTCAGTGGGATAACACACAAAGCGACGTGGGTCAGTGGGATAACACTTAAGGCGACGTGGGTCAGTGGGATAACACTTAAGGCGACGTGGGTCAGTGGGATAACACACAAAGCGACGTGGGTCAGTGGGATAACACACAAAGCGACGTGGGTCAGTGGGATAACACACAAAGCGACGTGGGTCAGTGGGATAACACTTAAGGCGATGTGGGTCAGTGGGATAACACATAAGACGACGTGGGTCAGTGGGATAACACTTAAGGCGATGTGGGTCAAGTCAGATAACACACAAAGCGACGTGGGTCAAGTGGGATAACACTTAAGGCGATGTGGGTCAAGTCAGATAACACACAAGGCGATGTGGGTCAAGTGAGATAACACACAAAGCGATGTGGGTCAAGTGAGATAACACACAAGGCGATGTGGGTCAAGTGAGATAACACACAAGGCGACGTGGGTCAAGTGAGATAACACACAAGGCGATGTGGGTCAAGTGAGATAACACACAAGGCGATGTGGGTCAAGTGAGATAACCAAAGGTGATGTGGGTCAAGTGAGATAACACACAAGGCGATGTGGGTCAAATGAGATAACACACAAGGCGATGTGGGTCAAGTTTGATAATAGTGATCGAGGGATAACACAAGGCGATATTGGTCAAGTTGGATAACACTATTTTTTTTTATAAGTGATAACACAAGGGGAGAATATCAAACTTAGAGCGTTAACACCATTTAATGCGGGTCAAGTGGATAACGCTGTTTGAAGCAGGACAAGCGGTTAACAACACGTGATAGGGGTAAAGTGGAAGTCGCCATGTTAAGGAACGCATACAAGTCGACTAACCAGTTTATACGGAGATCATGACGCCATAATGTTTGATGTGACGTCATTTGCTTGTCCCTGTTCTCACTTTGAGCTACCATAAGTCCGCTGGGGGGCACAAAACAGATCTGTTGTCACTGAGAAATAGTTCAC